TTAAAGTTACTCCTCTGGTGAAGTGGTTTACAGGGTCAGAGCGCTGGTGCAAATAGTGTGGAACTTCATATTTTTTACTTTCCAGTCTTGATAACTCTCACAAACGAAATAAAAAAAACATCTCTAGTGGGGGCCTATCGACGCCTTTCCTCAAACGTCTATGGGCCGACAGTTCAAACTGTCAAGTGTGCCGGCTTGCAGGGGCTCACGCCCGGGGACCAGAGCAGCCCCCTGCCCACAGCTGCAGCCCCCACTGGTTAACCTCAACTGATAAGCCTCAGCTGTTAAAGGCGAGGCCGAATGGTTAAACAGTCACATCCCTAGTCATGACTTGACCCTCCACCCAGGACATGTTTCCTTCCTTCTGGGATATCAAAGTTCCATCTTACCCCACCTCGCTGCCTCTTCAGTCTCTCTTCTTCCAGAGTAGCTGCTTCCAGGGCTGCTTCTGTAAACCCAACAAAATTCCCAACCAGACAAAATACAACCTACACCGCTTCCAACCCTCTCAAGCTTGAGCCTTTAAGCCATTGTAGCTACTCTCTTTTCTCCGCTCTTCTACAGAAGACCAAAGCACTGGGAACGCCTCCCTGGAGTCCTGCTTCTTTTCCAAGGGCCTCCACAGAGTTCACTCCACTTCTATAGCAATTATGCATCTGCCATGTTCTTGTCAAGCCCTTCCCACTGAGTAGCAACTCCCAACTTTCTTGGATTTCCCTCCTCCAAGGAATCCAAACTCCTTCCTTTTACCTCCTCCTTGAGCCTGATATGCCCTCCTAGGCTCCAGTAAACCCCTTCAGCCAGTGTGGGGTTCACATACCTCATCCCAGGTTCCCAACAGAGACATCTGAGGCTATGTTTACACTACAAAGAAAAGTTGAAAAAAGATACGCAAATTGCAAACTGCAATTTGTGTATCTTTTTCCGCTTTTCTTCCGAAAGAGGCTTTTCTTTTGGCCTATCTATACGGGGCCAAATGTCGGCAAAAAACCCTCTTTCAGAACATCCCTTCTTCCTCGTAGAACGAGGTTTACAGGGATGCCAAAAAAACGCATCTGCTTTTCCTAATTTTTTTTCGGAAAAGTAGATGCATTCCTTGGATGTGGCAGAGCTTTTCCAGGATACCTCTGGCATCCCAGAAAAGCTCTGCAGTGTAGACATGGCCAGAAAGAATAGGGATGTCCTTAAGATTGATGAAGTACTGTTAAAGTGGTGTTCCTATCCTCGGCAGCAGCTGGGGTGGGAGGTAGGATGATAATTTTTTAGAGATGTGATTTTATAATCTTAAGCATGAATGAAAAAGTTTTAAAGCAGATTTTAAACTCAGATCCTGTCAACTAAGGTAGTAATTTCATAAATAAACTTAAAAACCAACAAATGCTCTGGTAGCACTTTATAGACTAACAAATCATGTAGATGGGATCATGAGCTTCGTGGGCACAGCCCACTTCTTCAGATGACTCGAGTTTTGAGTTTAGGATGTGCAGACCCAAAATAAATAGGGGAGAAGGGAGGGGGGAGGAAAAAAAAGAAGGGGGACGGGAAACAAGGAGCAGAGGGTATGGAAATATCAAAGGGAAAAACAGGAAGGCAGAACTGGAAATCAATGAGCACCTGAAGATTGGGTAGTTAAAACGAAGCAGATAAGAATCAAAGTCAATAGTTAGTACCCTTCCTAACACAGGAATCTGCACAAAGAACTGTTTGCACCTTTATTGAATGTTAGGTTGATAGTCCCCCAACCATCCCTCATCACAACTGATTGAGGCCATTAGCAGGAGAATTGAACTTGCAGATGAATTGTAAGTCCAAGGCCTCTCTGTGTATTTGGCTAGTAGAATTGGTTTGTGACAAGACAGCCACTTGAAGATCTTTTAAACAGTGATTATGAAGATTGAAGTGTTTCCCAACAGGTTTCTGTATGTTCCCTTTACGGATATCTGATTTGTGTCCATTGATTCTTTCCCATAGGGACTGTCCAGTTTGTCTAATATATGTAGCAGTGGGGCACTGCTGGCATTTGATGGCATAGATCAAATTACTAGATGTGCAGTCAAATGACCTTTTGATTTGGTAGTTTATGTTGTTGGCTCCAGTGATGAATGCGCTTGTATAGATATGTGGGCAGAGTTGGCACCGCAGTTGGTTGCAGGGCTGGGTTCCTGGATGCTTATGATGTGGTTGAGTGGCATGGTTACCGGAAAGAATTTCTTTCAGGTTGGGAGGTTGTCGCTAAGCAAGAATAGCCTTTTCTCCCAAGGCCTCTGAGAGGGAGGGATCATTTTCCAAGATAGGTTGTAGATTGTGTATAATGCGCTGGAGGGGTCTGAGTTGTGGAATTTCAGAAACTGACAGTATAGACCTGGGGTTGGCAGGCAAATGCCTGTTAAATGGCTTCATTATTACCTGAATGACTCTTTTGTAGGTTCAATGTTCTATTATTAGGTCTGGCTTTTTCACTTTTAACTTAACTAGATCCTCTCTGGAGGAACAGAACAGAGATAGGAATAGGCAGATGGGTGGACATTAGGACCCAGTGGTGCCCCAAATTTTTGGGTGTCCTACGCATCTGTGTATTCTATGCATCGGTAAGGGTGGCCCTGTTAAAGAAGCCTGATTTTCTGAAAATCAAGCTCCATGCAAGTGAGTCAATTTACCCTCTCCAAACACTGACCTGCCCAAAGCTTAACTCTGACAAACCATTCATGACTTAGTGTTGTGTATTTGTACAGGGTGTAGCACAATGAGGCCCCGATCTCTGGCGGGATAAGAACAAAATAATAATAAAAGAACCGCTCCACTACAAACGTTGTTCTACTGTGGCATCCAAGCTGCTCAGCAAAGCTGCTGCTACTTCCGCGCCCGCTAGAGTTGTGTACATCTGTGTCTTTTACACTCTTGGGCTTTGTCTACGCGCAGGGTTTCTGCACAAGAAGCGTTTTACAGAAGAGCGTTTTGCCAGATGAACAGTGGCAATGTTCCCTCTCATTTTTTCCACCCATGCATGGAATAAATTTTGTTCTCTGCACTGGGACCTGTGTGGATGTGCACCATCAGTAGAAACAGGGGCTGCCGGAGGCGTGTGACTCTCTCCCGGCGGGCCGCCCCGTGCTGAGCGTAGGGTGGTACCGGGCAGTCACAGCAAAGCGTCCACGGGCTCAGTTTCCCTGCAGCAGTGCGGGGGAGGGGGGGTGGGGGCTGCAGCATCCCCGCCTCACTGGGCATTAAGGGCCCCGAGTCAGCAGAGCACGTGCTCGAGGCCGGCCCTGTCGAGCGCACAGCGGGGCCGCTCAGCTTGTTGGGGGTGGGGCCCTTGCGGGGTGCAGGGGGAGGGGGGAGCCACTCCCCAGCCCCTCCCCCACAGGCTGCGGGCAGCCCCGGGCG